TTGGTTTTGTTTATTTGATATTACTTCTCCTATTTTAGTTACTTTCTACTTTCATTGAGGTTTCCTTTTTTTTGTTTATTTTTGTCCTTTAATGAGATACCATGTGTTTGTTTGTTTGATTCTGAAAGGAGTGAAATAAGAATTTGCTAAGTAACGTTTTACATTGAAAATACTAGCTTTATCAGACTATGTGTTGTATTTGTTTTATCAGTCTGTGGCTTAAATTATTTTATAGTGTTAGAGAAGTGATTTGTAATATAAGGATCTTAGAGGGATGTAATGATGAAGGTAACTGTCATCTATGATATTTATTGGTCTCATTTCTTAGGCATGACTGTATGACTGTTTAATACATATGTTTATCCTACTCTTCAAATTATTTTAGATTTTTTTTAATATGTGTGAGTATTTTCCTGCCTGATGTATGTATACCACATGCATGCCTGGTACCCACAGAAGTCAGAAGAGGGTGTCAGATCCCCTAGAACTGGTGCCATGTGGGTGCTGGAAACTAAACCTGGGTCCTCTTGCAAGAGTAGCCAATGCTCATAACCACTGAACCATCTCTCCAGTCCAGGTTATCTTGTTTTAAAAACTATTTCTTTGGGGGCTGGAAAGTTGGGTTGTCCAGTTAAGAGCACTTGTTGCTCTTGCAGAGGACCAGGTTTCAGTTTCCAGCATCCACACAGCAACTCACAATCAAGTCTAATTGCACTCCCAAGGGAATCTGACATCCTCTTCTGACCTCTCAGGGCACCTGGCATGCACGTGGTGGACAAACATATACACAGGCAAAACACTCACACACATAAAATCAATCTAAAAAATTTATCCCTGTTTATTTGGCTGGTTTGGTTGTTTTGTTGTGTTTTTTGAGACTGATAGCCCAGACTGGCTTCAAATTTTCAGTAATCCTCCTGCCTCAGCCTCCCAAGTGCTAGGATAAAGTGTGCACCATGGATAGCTAAGAATAATAGTCCTTTCAACTGGCTGTGTTTTCATATATTCCTGGTAAGTTAAAACATTAGCATTCCCTTCTAAGCAGTGAGAGCGTGTGTGTGTGTGTGTGTGTGTGTGTGTGTGTGTGTGTGCTGTCTATGTGTGTATATGGTGTGTGTGTATATACTGTCTATGTGTGTATACGGTGTCAAAGATATTTACTCTTTCCCAAGTTTCAAATGAGAAGAGATGTTACAGATCTTCTACTTGTTTGATTTTTATTTTCTATTCAATGTAGAGATTTTTAAAAGTTGGGCAAATTAGTCACCTTTAATTCCAGCACTTAGGCAAGAGGATAGATATCTGACTTAATGACCATAATTTGGATGTACTATATGTCTATGTGTGTATATGGTGTGTGTGTGTGTATATACTGTCTATGTGTGTATATGGTGTGTGTGTGT